TGCTGTTGTTGTTGCTGCTGCTGATGTTACTGTTACTGTTGTTGTTGCTTCTGTTGTTGTTACTGCTGTTGGTACTGCTGTTGTTGCTGCTGTTGTTGTTGCTGCTGCTGTTGTTACTGCTGTTGTTGCTGCTGTTGTTGTTGCTGTTGCTGTTGCTCCTGTTGTTGCTGATGTTGTTTTAATTAATTCAAAAAAGACCATACTTGGGACAAGCTTTTTACTAATAACAATGATGCTTTTAGATTCAAGGAAGAAGAAATGCAGATTCAAGCCTTTATGGAAGAGAGCGGCGACYTGCTGCAATGGATGGATGAAACTGATGCTGTTCTAAAACAGAAAGACGCACCATCTGCGGACGAGAAGGCTCTGAAAGAACAGCTGAAGAAAATAAAGGTAATAAAGTCAAGAATGACGTTCAAGGCTAAAGAATAGTTTAAATGGTCCCATTATTTTCGGACCGTGTTCCTTGGGGAGAATCAAGGGTGGTGCAGCGATAGTGCATTCGCCTCTTTGCATCTTAAAAATATCATAATTTTTTCTGACTTACACAGGAAGCGGAAGCAGAAATCGATGTTAAAGACGACTCAGTCAAGTCTATCAAAGAAACCGGCGAACGTCTTCTGACGAGAACCATCTTCTCCAAACCCAACCATGACATGGTACGAACACGGCTAGACTTGATGTTGGCGCGATGGGAGATACTACGCATGGATGGGCTCACTAGACGAAGAGCTGTTGAAAATAAACTTACTAGGGTGAGTATATAGACATTTTTACCTTGGGGGTCGTCCTTCACGAATTTGCAAGACRTGATCCTATTGAAGCACACTTGTAGAACAATAGAAAACAATGACCTTTYCCCAACCCCACCCCTAAACCTAACCAATCACAGGGGACGTTGCAAATTCGTGAAGCCTACCTTTGGTGTAATGTTTTCCGATTTCAGGTGTCATTCCCTAGAGAACCATTTCTTCGTTTAACGGTTGCACATGAGAAGACATAGGAATGTGGATACAACTAGAACAAAGAATATTACTCCCAGACACATGGTCTGAAATGGGGAAAGAGTACCATTCCCTAGAGTATCATATCTTTGTTTTATGGTTGCGCATGATAAGACACAGGAATGTGGATAAAACTAGAACAAACAATCTTATTCTCAGACRCATGGTCTGAAATGGGGGAAAGACAAGTTAAAATTTTTGCCTCAGTACCTAATATTAAACTAAAAATAACACAAGCATGAAATCTAATTCCCAACGAGGGTTGAAATTTATTGAAAAATCTATTGRAAAAAGAAAAAAAGAAAAGAAAGAAAGAAATGAATGGAATTAGACGAAAATATAATAGGCATTGTTAGTAGTATCATGGAAAGATTTATTTTGGTTCACTTTTGTCTTGTCAGTTGACTAAGTTTCTCAGTGAACTTGAAGAGCTTAGTTTGTGGGCGTCAACCACACGTGACCTTTTGGAGACCCAGGCGAGTCTGAAGGATGCCGGGAACACCGAAGAAATGATCATCGATCCCAAGGTATAAATCATTTCTTAAGCAGATTTTAAGTTCTCAAGCAACATTTCATGCTTGCTTCAAAAGGCTCAGTTTCTGAGATAGCGACCATGGTGCATYGTGGTTTAGCATGGGTACAATTTTTTTGTTCGTCTTCAAAACAATCTGTTTACATACCGATATCAGAAAAGACCTTAGTAATGCTAGAGGTTTTGCGGCAGCCACGTTGTAAAGAAATGCTTCAGTTTATGAGAATGCGAACACGGTGCATTATGGTCTAGCTTGRGTACAAACATTTTGCTCGCCATGTTTTTTATATGGTTTTCTTCGTACCCAAGCTAGACCACCAGTACATCCCGTTTACCGATCTCAGTAAAGGAGTTCGGCAGCCATGTTGCAGAACAAATCACTTTTCATGCAAACATTCAGTTTTGCATTTTTTCTGCTCCTCAAAAAAAATCCTCAGTATTACATGTTCCGAGGTCAAGGAGAAAACTGGACCTAGTTGGCATTGCAGTGCATTGTGGGAGTGTCCCTAAAAAACAGTCCCAAAATGCACTGCAGTGCCAACTCGGCCCAGTTTTTTTCACGGCTAATAAAGTACATGAATGTGTCAACTTTGTTTCTTGTCTTGCAGACCGTACACGAATCACTCCGAGCCAGACAACAAACACGTGACAACGTCAATGAAACTATGACAGCCTTGAGGCRGGATAGTAAAATTGAGTCGGCTTCAGTTCCTAAGCCAATAGAAAACAAAGTCAAACTCCTTAATGAGGACTGGGCACGAATTGCTACCCAGGCCTCCTCTCTTTTCGCTAACAGAACTAAGCGAGTACATGAGGATATTATTGTGTCTGAAGTGAACCAGAAGACTGAATCAAGTATTGATGGATGGGATAGTAAGTGTTGAAGACATTGTAATATTTTAAAATCCATGTGATGTTAGTTCACATTTTTACTCCATTTTTTTCTTTTTCATTTCTTATTTTATTGGTGCATTTTAACCTTTTGGTCTTTCATCTTATATCATTTCATTTTACTAGCACTCCTTTTTCTTTTTCCATTTCTTCCTTTCATTGTTCCTCCCATTCTTATTTCATATYTTTCTGTCCTTACTGTAGCACGTGATTCCCCCTGGCCAAAGTTCGACAAGGCTGTATCAGAACTACACGTCTGGTTAGATGACGTCACTGATATGATGAAAACAGAGAAAATCATTCTGTCCGACAGCGAGGAGATCTTTGCTTTAGCAGAGAAACAAAAGGTATTAGTATAGGAAATTTTTTGTTTATAGTTCACTCAACAAAATTTCAGTAAAAAATTCGAAGCGACGCCGTTCATCTTTGTCTATTTGGCGGCCGATTTTCAGTCCATCGTGCAACTGAAATGCAAAAAAAAAGATTAGTTCTTACGGCTTTAAAATTTTATTTATGTTTTTTAAGTACAAAATGATAGAAAATAATTGTTTTGACATTGTTTTGGCCTTGTTGCCATAGCGACTTTATTCGGTACTCCTACGGAGTAAAATTAACGCTATAATTGTACTCCTCTCGACCAATCAGAGTCGAGTAATTTTGTTGAGTGTACTATAAGTATATGTAATAGGACTCCATGCTGTCCAATTAACGAATAATTGGACGAGGAAAATTCCGAGGACTGACAAAATTGGATGAGGCCGTAGRCCGAGTTCAATTTGGCAGTCAGAGGAATTTTTCGAGTCTAATTATTTCTTGATGGGGGAGCATGAAATCGCATTACCTATTAATTATATAGCTACCTAATTAATGCCATGTCAACAAGACGTGTCCAATCAAGAAAATAATTGGACAGCTACCTATATGGAATAAATGAGAAGCTGTATTAGAGTCTTAAAACGACAATAATACTTGAAGTTATCACAAAACATGACATGGTTTCAACATCCAGATTGTCAAATTGTTCTCATATGTGCGCGATTAATGGCAAAATTTGCAGAAAAGAATTAATCACTTTTATTTAAGTGTTTAGTCGTTTTAGCGCTTTCGCACTAATTGGGGACACTTTTAACTCACACGCACTACCACTACATTTAATATTCTATGCACACAACGCTCAACTCACATGTTGATTTTTACGGAGGGAGAAAACCGGAGAAAACCCTCGTAGCATAGGAGAGAACAACACATCAAACAGACTCAATTCACATGTGGCGACCGCTGGTCTCACAGCGGTGAAAGACGACGCGCTGGGCGCGAACGCCACCCATGCTACCCAGAGAGAGTTTTAGGTCTGTAGTCCCACCTGATCCTCCCTTATCCCCGTCCCTGTTATTGATTAACGTCTCTACCGTTTATTTATCGTATTTAATCCATCTCCCCWAGTCCGTGGACGAACAGCTCAAGAGCAAACAACATCTACGAGACGAGATCGCTGAGATGGGCCACAGCTTGTCGGAAGAAGCCGAAAACCACGAAGACAAAATGATCATCGATCGAAAAGTCACCAAACTAAAGGAACACTGGGAGAACGTCCAAGACAAGTCGACAGTCTGGCGAGGACAAATCGATTACTTGTTGGAAGAATGGAAACGATATGTGGAGTTACGAGAGGAACTGGTGGAGTGGCTACGCAAGGCGGAAGTCTACTTAAAGAAGGAGGAGAACCCTTATAATTATACTGTTAGTGATTTAGATGAGCAGATTAACAAGCACAAGGTATAGAGCACTAAGATGGAAGAATAYCCCTTTCCCACGTGATCTCCCCTGCTKAAGGGTCAAGATAGGGAAGAAGGGTGGATTGGGAAGGAATACTTCCCGACTTGAAAGTATCTTAGTAGCGAAGAGCATGGCGTTTCCCCACTGACCACCACCAACACTACCAACACTGTCACCGMCACCATAAACGTGTCATATCAATGCCCTGTATTGTGGTAACGTCACGCGTTCTTGTCACGCGTTCTTGYGTTTAGGGATTAAGGAGCTCCCCCTTATCACCATCACCACCATAACCATGTCTTATCCATGCCTTGTATTGTGGTAACGTCACGCGTTCTTGTCACGCGTTCTTGTGTTTAGGGATTAAGGAGCTCCCCCTTATCACCACCACCACCATAACCATGTCATATCCATGCCTTGTATTGTGGTAACGTCACGCGTTCTTGTGTTTAGGGATTAAGGAGCTCCCCCTTATTACCACCACCACCATGAACATATGATAGGAACGCCCAGTTTCACGTTAACTTTAAGTTTTCTTATGTTTAGGGATCGATAGCTCCCCCCTCACCACCACCACCACCACCATACCATCATCGCCACACCACCACATCACCACCATCACCACACCACCACATCACCACCATCACCACACCACCACCACATCACCACCAAGATGACCATGTGATACCCCCGCCCAGTTTGATATTAAAGTCTTGTCTTGCGTTTAGGGGTTCGAGGAAGATCTCGAGACCTGGAGAGGAAGTATTACAGCAGTCACGCAATGCGGAGATAATCTAATCCAGGAATTCCCGACCTACGAGGCTTCTGCCTTGAGACACAACATGTCCGAACTGAAAGAACGATGGGAAAACGTCAAGACAAAGTACGAACTTTCTGTTGCCCTATTTTCATATTAATTTGCTAGACGTTGTTTTAGGTCAAAGGTCAAGGTCAAAACAATGGTCTAAAATAGGAACTTGATTTTATCGATCTAGGTGATGGGTTCTTTAAATACCCCCTCCCCCTCTCCCCTCAGAAACCTGTTTAAATGCTAAATATTGGGTGCCGTAGTGTCGGACTACACTCACCAGGACAATCACATCTCGCAACAAACTTCAACACCTGGATTTAAATCGTTTAGTCGTACTTCTTTCGTTTTCACGCTGGACTCTGAATATGACTTCCGCTCAGCTTTTCAGTCACCACCACCAACAGTTTTTCTCAAGACTACGCTGGCCAGGACGATCACACTTCACAGCAAACTTCAGCACCTGGGTTCAAAGCATATACTCTTCTCTCAACAGGTCTGATAATCGTCATGACAACCTGAAGGACGCCTTTGAACGCATGGTTCGTTTCCACGAAGAGATGATCAACGCACTGACATGGCTGACAACCACCGAGTCTAGWGTTGCAGAACTCGACAGCTCAATCGATGCTGGACGAGGGGAAGATAGAGAACATATTGACAATCTAAAATATGAGCTCAAGGTTTGTAAAKAATGTCTTCCTCCTGTCCTACTCGTTACCAGTTTCCGCGCAACTTCGGAAAGGAACAATAGACCTAATTCATCTTGGAGTAAGATTTACTCATTTCACACCACGTGTCATTTCCAAGAGTATCAATTCTCTGTTTAATGGTTGTGCATGGGAAGACGGTTTTGCGTACGCATATGAATATAGATACGACTCGAATAAAAAATCTTACTCTAAAGAGAATGACACGTGGTCTGAAATGGTCCGAAACCCTAGCGATAATAATCCGTAACCCTTCCGAAAACTGACGATCAGTGAACCATGATCCGCTCTATTGTTTCCAACTATGCAACCGAACAATAGGCATATCACTTATACGGACAACATTGATTCAAGCTGAATGGCTCTACTGTGTAGGAGCAGGCGTAGCTCAGTTGGTTAGTGCGCGACCTTCAGAGCTCGAGGTCCACGGTTCGATCCTTAGGATATCAACGTCTGTTTCGACTTTTCTSTAATCCGTGTAGCTTCAGCTTTAAATACTCTTAAAACAGAGCACTGATGGAGAGAGGGGGGTAAAGTGCGCACCGTCGGCTTCCATTGATAGCAGTTGAATTTCAACTGAAGGARCTACCGACGTTAAATATAGGTACTTTACTTTACTGTGTATACAATGCTCAAGGGAATGATCATGTGGTCTGAAATGGGACAATATTACACCAAGACGAATTAAGACTATTGTTTTTTGAAGACTTTAACACTCGCTGCCTTTCCTGYCTTTAACAGCGGTATTTCTTTTAAATGAAATTGTTTTTGTAGAATCTAGAAGAAGATATCAACAGCCACCAAGAAATGTTCGCATCACTAAACGAGAATGGCCAACACATGATCACAGAAATGGAGCCAGGTGACGTCCTGACGGCTGTTCAAACTAAACTCGATGACATCAATGACAGGTGGCAATCAATTAACGTGCGCACGTTAGAGATGCGAGATAGACTCGAAGAAACAGTTACAGAATGGCGCCAACTCTTGCTAGACTTGCAGGAAATAATGGAGTGGATCAAAGCAGCGGATCAAGATTTGAATTCTCAACAGCCAATAGGAGGCGACTTAGAGGCAGTACAGACCCAGAATGAGACTCACCAGGTTAGTATTATTCGATTTATTCACCTCCCAACCATGCAATTTCATGCCACTCATTCTACCGTCACTACCGTCCTAGTATCCCCAGCAGCCGTTCTTAGTGTCGTCACGCAACGCTCACTCCCGAGGGTTGCGTTGCGTGACGACACTAAGAACGGCTTCCATGTTTAAGTAAAGAAATATAAAGCCCGTATGCATCTTGACTAATCAGAAAGCAAGATTCGTGACAGTTATTTCACAGAGATTCTTATTGAATTCTTCATTCAAGAAGGTGCGAGTCCTTGTTGCAATAGCCTGCGTAGCCAGGCGTTCCTTGTGGGTTTTGGGGAGTCCCCCCAAAACTCACAAGGAACGCCTGGCTACGCAGGCTATGTTRCAAGAGATGTTTACCTCATGTTCTAGCGGTTACCCAGTTTACAATGTTAATTAATGCAACGTTATGCTTTATTCGGGAATTCATACTTTTCGTTACCAGGCCTTCAAAGGAAAGTCGAACGTGCGAAGGCTCATGGTCGATAGGGTCCTGGACTCGGGCCGGCGAATGATGGACGAATACCATGGTGAACGYGCCGCTGGTGAAGCAGAAGGATCATCGCGGTCGCGTATTGCCGCCAACATTGTTCAGCAGCTGGCGACTGTCGATGATCAGTGGTCGAAGCTTTGTCAACGATCAGAAGAATGGCAGAAAAATGTCGATGAAAATCTTAGGGTGAGTACGAGCGGAATTCAAATTATGATATGGGTTACCTGTGATGGACTGACACAGGTAACCMAACAAGGCCAGAAGCAATCTAGATATCGCTCGACATCTCAGACTTCATATGATTGTGAAAAAGTTCCGTTATGGTTTGAACTTTGTTGACTTGCAAACGTTAGCCCAAGCAAGACCGAAAATAGGATTTGCGATAAATTTAGCTCCTTAGAGCAGAGTTCGAGTTAATGTCAAAAAACGTTCAGTATTGGTTACCTGTGTGTTTCGAAAAACGTAACCTAAACTAGACGCATATCTGCGTGAACTCGGGCTTCATAGCAGAAAATCGAAAGAATTATTCGTGAACATTGTCACCCTTTTAGATGGTGCAAAGTCTGTGCAAAATCACGCGTGATAAAAATGTTGAGGAAGTTAGACTCCATATCATTCATTACTTGAAACAGCGACGAGTCCTTCCCCATATCCGCCATTACTCAAGCATGTGCTCATGGCTGATTCTAAGCATGCGCATAGTTTTGATTTGACGCATGCGCCTTTAGGCTTCGAGGGCGATTTGTGACTGAAGAAAAAAAATAACGAAGCCCAATTTATACCTCGGGCATTTCTTCGAAAGCCCGAGTAACGAGGCTAGACGACCGAAAGTAATTTTGTGTGATTTCGGATGTTGAGAAGCAGTATCATTAATCATTCTTTCCGACAGCTTTCTGTAGTCTTTAATTTTTGCCTCAAAACCAACGAATCAAAAACAGAATATGAAATCTTCGCGGCCAAGCCCTTTCGCCCCAAGGACCCATCGGTGAAAGGTCCCTCGTAACAAGAAACCCCACCGCGCGAGATTAGCATCATATTTCAAWTTACATCTCATTGATGTGTGTATCAGCAAGCAAGCAAGTTAGATCATTCTGTATAGCTCTGTATTCTGGCTCACTGGCCAACGGGAAAGATGGTGAGGCATAGAACCCACACTATTATTTTATTGTCTTAAAACTCAATGTTTCTTGGTGTGTGTTTAGATATCATACCTATCAGCAGCATTGACAATGCTACAGAACTGCATTATTTTTTATCTAGTTTTTCTGTTCTCTTAAATTATTGATTYAAATAGTTATGACATCTCGTTCTTGATAATTTTGACTAGGCATTATCAAGTGTAACGCACAGTCTAAGCTGTTATACCAACACATTGTTTTAAAAACATTACATAGCCGTATAYTTGCTGGATTCCTAACGATCGTTAGGGTCAGTGTTAATCTTTACATGTGTCGTCTTCAATGAGGTAAACAAATTCCTTTTGAACGAGGTTAAAGTAAGGTTAACAGTGCCCAGGTTTTCGAGTAGTCGTTAGTGTTGTGGTATACCATTAAGATAACTCACRTTAAATTTCTACATCTATCTTCGAATTTTTGGTAACTTTTCGTTATTTTGTTGTTTTTTTAAGGCAAGGGATATCATCTCTACATGATAACTAAAAGCGATACAACAGTCTTATGTTTTCCTAAGTGGCTTGAATTACTTAATTCGCCTCAGTTAGTTCCCGCGCAAAATGAGATAAAACAGACGCGTGTGCACAGACGCGTGTGCACAGACGCGTGTGCACATCTTTTCCCGCCAAATTCAACAAATGTCGTATAATTTTTTTTTCGCCTGCTAAAATACTTCTGCTTTTTTAATGTCTGGACGTTACTTTGTTGAACATTATATATAATCCTATTAATATGTCTTAGAAGCAAAACAAAATRAACTTAAGACAACACATTGAAAAATGTCTTGTTTAGGTCATGAACTTGGCTTAAAAAATTTAAATTATTTTCTTGTTAAAATAAATTCACTATCGATAATGGCATCAGAAACGACATTTTTTCGTCATTTTATAGCTGTTGTAAAGATGGCACGGTCGTTTAAGATAATTTGCGAGCGAGATGATTAAAGTTTAGTTTATTTAGTGCAACCAGGAGTCAAAGTTCAGGTTAATTCTCACGAGGCTCTGTGTCGTTGACATTCCCAAAATCTTAAGAAGATCCGGTTGACAAATGAGAATCTGTTTGTGTTTCCTGTTCCAGTGGTAGCCAAACAAGTTTTGTGGTTAATATAGTTAACGTTTTTGACTCGTTTTCATTGTTTTCAAATCTGGCTGACCCCTGTTCAAACGTTTCTTACTCATTTCCTTGAATCATAATATGTTTTTTTTCGTAAAAGTGTTGATTATTCTTATCTTCGTCTTCTCCCCCCCCCCCCCATTTGCGTTTTATCGAACCGTAATCAGTTTAGTTCAAAGATACAATACGCTTTCAAAATGCCTTTTTAATTTGGATTAGTGTTTTCTACGTTGATTAAATTGTCGTATTCTGTCGATTTATAGCTAATACGGTGATGATAAAGATTAATTACACATTCCAAGCGGTCAGTCTGCTATCGGTTGCCCACTCGTGGCACGGCTCTGAAATGCCTCCTTTGTTTAATCTGGCCATAGTTCCCCTCAATTAACTATGATCAGGGGGAAAGACGCTCAAGATGCAAATACTAATAAAAATTATTAATTCATTTGCACTCAAAATGCAGTTTTTAATCACACTTTTCTATATTTTCCTACGATTCTTAGTYATACTAAATTATGCGTATTTTTATGGGGCCAATTTCTGTACTTTTTTATTGGAGAGGGAGGTTGAAGGGGGCTGGGCACAACAGAGTCGATATTCGAACATGAGCCCCCAGTGTTAATGTCCGCGGTTACTTCAAATCAAATCTTAACTTTCCCCTTGTGACTATCAAGCTCTTAAGATCATTCGAGCTAATTTAAAACTCGTGTGTTTTATTTTTTGTCTTTCAGAAGTTTCAAGTGCTTGACGGGCAAATGGAGGATGTCGATGTGCGGCTGACAGAAGCTGAGCAGRCCAGCGTGACCTGGACACCAGTACAGGATTTAGTTATAGAGTCTCTACACGAACAAATGGAAGAATTAAAGGTATAATGCTCTAGGTATCCGGTATTATRAGCAATTTATAATCGCAAACTCAAAATTTCCGCCCAAAATATTTTTAATCACGAAATTTGCATACCTTAAAAAAAAATTTGCAATTGCGTGACCACAGTTACCTTGCGTAACTAAATGCTTTTGCGTGACAAGTAATGTTTTTAAGCGTTATGAACTKTATTTTCCATAAGTTTGGAAATAATAGCATAGAAAATACTCTAACGTGACAATGTTATCTTGCGTGACAAGTAATTGTGCGACCGAATTTTTTTAGATGTTACAGGAACGTATCGCTCATCTACAACAGATGTTTGAAAACATGAGTAACACTGAAGGAGAGCTAAGACGGCGAGGGGTCACCTTCTCGGCCAACCTRCAAAACAGGATTGACCAGTTGTACAGACGCTGGAAACAGCTTCAGATTCAAATGTTGCAAAGACAAAACGCTCTTCAGGATGCTTATCCAGAAGGAGACAGCACCTCGCTTCAGGCATTACAAGGTAGGTAATCGTAGGAACATTTTGAAAGGCAGGGGAGAGGTCCTTGAGTCCTGAAATCCCCCCACCCCTCGACCCTCTTCCCTTTACTCAATCGTATGATATATTACAAAGAATAGTAATACTGTAATATCCCATTAAACTAAAAATCATGACCGGAATATATGCAGGTCTGTAAATCCAAAGTCGAATGTATATCAATAAATTGAAAAGTCTATATGGTGTATGTATGTATATATTAGTATGGCATCAACAATGAGGTCACACATATTGAATGTAGGTTTTGGACCCCCCTCAAAAAAATCCTGCATCAGCCCTTGTTTTGCTTTCCCATTACCACATGTCATTCCCTTGAATATTATTTCTTTCTCTAACTTTGACATAATGGTAGGAATACTGTAAAGTTAGATTATCTTTGGCGATATTTTATCGGGCAAAGTAATTTCTTATTTCAGGCCACATCTCTTTCGCTTGAGTATTATTTCTTTCTTTAGTATTGTTTTTCCACTACTACATGTTATCCCCTTGAATATTATTTCTTTACATTGCTTTTTCTCTCCTTCCTTCAGCGAGCGTAGAACCTCCATGGGAGCGAGCTGTTGCCGTCAACAAAGTGCCATACTATATAAAGTAGGTTTAAAAAAGATAATATAGTTTATGAATACTTTGTTATTGTTATATTCATCATCATCATCATAATTATCATTATCACTACCCCCTCTAATACAATACATTATGATGTAGTATAGCTCCCCCCTCCCCCTTCACTCCTAAAACACACACACCCACTTTTGGCTGGCGTCCATTACATTTTCAAGTCACCTCTTCAGCTAGCACTTATAGTCTAATGCATAGGCGTAAAATAACGTATTTCGATCGAATTCCAGTCACAAGACAGAGACAACACAATGGGATCATCCAAAGATGACTGAACTCTATCATCAAATAGGTAAGTCACGTTTACTATTCTATTCTTTAGTCTATAGAGTGGTTTTCGTATGAGTGGGTGACGTACGGTACCAAAAGAAGAGGGGTCTTGGGGAGAGGACGAGACGCCCTCGGTCACACTATACAACACAGGGAGTCCTCCAAAAGACAATCAAGAAACTTAAAAGGAAACAGGGGCGCTTCAATACAAATGCTTCAATATAGATCAATTTAGTGGTGACTCTACGTAAAGCCCAAAAAACCCTCAGTTTCCTGATTGAGGCCACTTTAAATAGCACATAAATAACACAAATTTCATTATATGATTCTGTAATTAAATTTTTATTTGTTTTTGCTTTCGTAGCTGAATTGAATGATATTAAATACAGCGCGTATAGAACCGCCATGAAGCTACGCTGCATCCAAAGAGCAACAAGTAGTAAGTACAGACAACGAGTAATGGTCTAAAACATCACGTGTCATTCCCTTGAGAAGTATTCTTTTACTAGTACCAAGATATTGATAGTAGTGATGAATCTCAGTAAACTGGAGTCGCAATGCAATCGCGCATTTTTATGCTCAAGAGGACTTCAGGAATAATTGTATCATATTATTCTCTTGAGTAGTATTCTTTTACTAGTACCATTGAAGAAGATATCGATAGTATGGATAAATCTCAGTAAACTGGGATCGCATAGAGGGACTTGTAATGCACTTCAGGACTATTTATATCATGAACAAGGGTTMTATGCTTTGGACCCCGATATTATTGATCAGAAATGCAGTTCCAAAGTTTAAAAAATCCCTAGCACAATCCTTGGATTGGGAGCTAGGTAATTAAGTGTTAGCCCAACTACAGTCTCAACAAGGCATTTACAACAAACAAAAGGTCCCTTGTTGAAGTATCTTGAAGTGGCATTAGTAATCCAAAAAAAGTTATTTAACTAAAAGATGTCCGATTTTTTCTTCTTCTTCAATCCAGTAACAGTCACATGATTATTTCCTGCAAATGCCTTATCCAGGACCGAATGATTACATCAACCATAAAGCATTGTGCGTCATGTATCTTTAAACTGACTTTGCCTTCTCTCTCTCTTTCAGTGGACCTTGTCACTCTAGAAAACCTGGACAGCGCTTTCGACGCACACGGCCTCAAGAGAATCAATAATAATACACTGATAGGGATTCGAGAGATGGTGGACACGCTGGCTACAGTGTACGATAAAATTGAGGTCGGACAAGAGAATATTAGCACTGCTATCTGTATAGATCTGACCTTGAACTGGCTGCTTAACGTCTATGATAGGTAAGGATGGAGTTCATGGCTGGAGTAGTTAGGTACTGTATTCATCTCTTCTCTTGGGTCTCGGAGTCAATTTATGGACTCAGCATCGGAGGATTTTCTCCGAGTTCTACGGTTTTCCTCCCAAGCTAAATTCCAATTCGATCTATGCGTTTGCTATTACCTGACTTAGATCAGCCCAGAGGTTGTTTCAGAGTTCGATCTATGAGTTAGCCATGCCCTGACTTAGATCAGCCTGGAGGCTGTTTCAGGGTTCAATCTGTGAGTTAGCCATGCCCTGACTTAGATCAGCCCGGAGGCTGTTTCAGGGTTTGATCTGTGAGTTAGCCATGCCCTGACTTAGATCAGCCCAGAGGTTGTTTCAGGTTCAATCTGTGAGTTAGTCATGCCCTGACTTAGATCAGCCCAGAGGTTGTTTCGGGGTTCGATCTATGAGTTAGCCATGCCCTGACTTAGATCGGCCCAGAGGTTGTTTCAGGGTTCGATCTGTGAGTTAACCATGCCCTGACTTAGATCAGCCCGGAAGCTGTTTCAGGGTTCTATCTGTGAGTTAGCCATGCCCTGACTTAGATCAGCCCGGAAGCTGTTTCATGGTATTGATAAAAGTTGAAGATTCACTATACCAGACAGGGTTTGTGAGTTTCATTAATTAGTTGTTGTTTTTTTCATTAATTATATTATTTGAATATTTCCTTTTTTTCAGTGGTCGAATAGGCAAGATTCGCCTGCTGTCATTCAAGGTTGGCCTAGTTACCATGTGCCGAGCTCTTCTAGAAGACAAATACAAGTGTAAGGGAGTTATACTAATGTAATCTACTCTCAGTACCGGAAATAAAACATGAATTTAAAATCTGTCTTACTATAGTAGAGGCTTTGCTCCATCACGTGATGGCAGCCATGACAGGTGGCACAACAAGAGAGTCGCTCTCCCCTGGGAAAAAGATTTCTTTCTCATGTAAATCAGACTAGACCAGATTCAATTGTTCCTGCCTCCTGTCATGGCTGCAATCACGTGATGGTGCAAAGCCTCCTCAATAGGCCCCTTACGGTACGTCGGAATGCAGCTCATTTTGAAGGACATAACAGAGCTTCTTTGCTTGTTGTACACATTTTAGGCCATGTGATGCCACTCTTGGGAGTTGATTCTTTCATGTAAAAATATTTTAGCTTTTAGCATGTTTGTCGTAAAAGAACAATTCTCAAAGGAATGTCCTGTGTTGTGAAATGGGCAATTTGCATACAAAGCTAAAGAGGTCTATTCTAATGAGATTGAAATTCTTTTGTTTTGTCCTCTGTTTTGTTTTGTTTTGTCTTCCAAATTGAGCAGCTTTGATGTCACATGCAAGGGCTCTATAGATCATTAAGATATTGATTTATTTTGATAGATCTATTCCGTCTGGTCGCTGATAATGATGGACATATGGACCACAAACAATTAGGACTTTTATTACACGACTCATTACAGGTATGAACAGAATATAGATGGACTTTATGTTTGTGGGCATTGCCATTGTGATGTTAATTAAATAAGTGATGAATCRGGGGTCCSAAGTTAAAGCCTTGAGGAACACCTGGCCAAATACTTCAAAGCAATAGGTGTACTTTATGTTTTTAGACATTGCTATTGTGATGTTAATTAAATAGGTGATGAATCAGGGGTCCYAAGTTAAAGCCTTGAGGAACACCTGGCCAAATACTTCAAAGCAATAGGTGTACTTTATATTTATAGACATTGCCATTGTGATGTTAATTAAATAAATGATGAATCAGGGGTCCCAATTTAAAGCTTTGAGGAACACCTTACGAAATAATTCATAATTTCTTTACTCATTATTATCATGACGGTAGGTTAACTCTRGTGCTTGGAACAAGTCTTGTTTATTTCCCCGAGAGACACTATGAACAAAAAAACTTAAATATATAATTACTATCTGGGTTACTCTGAATCTAGCACTRACTAGTATTTTATCTGTTCTATTTTATTAGATACCTCGACAGCTRGGTGAGATAGCAGCTTTTGGTGGAAGCAACATTGAGCCAAGTGTACGAAGCTGCTTCGAGAAGGTAACCTTGGCAACCGGCTTAACCAGCTCAATTTTCTGTGACTRAAATRATTCCTAAATGCCTTTGTTGTTAGYTCGTATCAATACTCACTGATGGAAGGAATCCAAACACATAAGAACATGGCGCATTTATCTGGACATACAAAATTGATTTGTTGATTTACTTATGTGTAGGTTGGCGCAAGAGACAGAATTGACGCGCCTCAATTCTTATATTGGCTCAGCGCGGAACCACAGTCCATTGTGTGGCTACCAACTCTACACAGACTCGCTGCATCTGAAGCAGGTATGACCTTAGGCTAATCMACATCACTGTCACTATTAAAAGTATTACACCTTAGATAAAAGAAAACCCCTTGCACTAATTCCCAATCTGCAAGTCAAGAGTCAATGTTAATATTTATCATTGTTTTGACCTCCAGGTTTAGTGCGAGGGGTTCATTGCCTAGTTACAAGACTTTTGGTTGACTTTTCTTTATCTGACTGGCTTAGAATAGCCCGTACAGGTTAATCCAGCCAGTTCACACCTTATTAAAAGGAACCATATATTTTTTTGTTTCGTTTATTTTATTGTATTTTAGTATAAATACACAGGTGATTATTGAAAATCTCGCGCGCTGATTGGTCGAGAAACTCAGATTATCACACAATAGTCAACTCCAGCGATAATCCAAAATGGCGGCCAGCCGCTTTGTTGCTGTTAATTACCGGGAAAAAATGTGTCCGAGTTTTATTTTTTTTTTTTTTTTTTCTTTTGAAATAATCACCTGTGTATTTATACTAAAACCATTATTCTCCTTAGGCTCAGTGAATATTGGGAATAATAACCTCCACTTTGTTTCGGTTATTATTCCCCGATATTCACTTCGCATTCGGCGAATAATTGTTAGATAATGTAAAAGTGCCAAATACAAATTGTCATTGTGAATCTTTGTTTCCTACTTTTCTCTTAATAAAATACCTTTTTTCCAGCAATTGTGCACTTACTTCCCCTTACTTTCCCCTCTGTTTCAGTCAAACACAAAGCCAAGTGTAACATCTGTAAGGAATACCCTATAGTGGGATTCAGATTCCGTTGTCTTAAGTGCTTTAACTATGATTTATGTCAGGTGAGTGAGCCTTTGGTCACGTGATTTTCTCTCTTGRCAAAAGAGCTGGAAGAGCTAAGAACCGTTACTGCAGTTTTCAATATACTGCAAACTCGGTAGTCACAAGMTGCACGCTGAAATTTGGTTCTTCGCTGCCTTCAATCAAAAATAATCAGTCGGTACCTTTTTTGTTATTGACTGTTAAAAAAAATAAACTATTTCACAACAAGGCGTTGAAATGTCTGAGTTCGCGGAATATCGAGCTCTGTTTTATGACGTTCTGTTCTTATTCCTATGTGACCCAAGCGTTCCCAGGAGGCAGCATGGTCGATTGGTCATAGCGTCGTTTTTTTGTTTTTCTTGCCCATCACACGAAGTCATGATCCCTTTTTCCATCTCGGAATTCTGTTCTTCGCTTCGCGGGATCTTGTACATACCTGCGGTACCCTTTTCTTTTCCAAACGATACCTTTTTTCTTCACCACCACGCGGCATTCGCTTGTCCACCTTGCGGGATCCTTGCGGGATCTTTCTCCAAGTAATGGAGATGATTCGTCTGATTGTGGTATTTTGATGTTTTCATTAATCGTTGTTTTCAGAGCTGCTTCTGGTCAGGCCGTGTCTCACACGATCATCGTCTCACTCATCCAATGCATCAGTACTGYTTATCGGTAAGAATGATTTTGTCCAATCAGATGACATTTGTTTACGATCGCGTCGCGAATACCACGCGACAACACAACAATTATTGAAGGAAAACTTTACGACATTTCTTATACACCTATTTCAAAAAACGTTGTCGGTTGGAGATCTGAAATCTGAGACCGAAAGGAATTGTGGGTTGTAAGCTGTAAATTGTTTTTGGTGGTTTTATTAGTAGATCACAAAAAGTTAATATCTTGATATACTAACTTTGAGCGATGAACTGCGCTGACAAACTGTCTGGCTAAGTGTATATTGAATTTTTAACGAGAAAACACTCAGTCCCCCACAATTCCAATCGGTCTAAGATTTCTGATTTCAGATATCCAACCGACAACGTTTTTTGAAATAGGTGTATATGTTTTATAATATGATGAACAAGACACTTATAATGTTTTGCTTTTCAGACTACTTCCGGTGAAGACGTCAAGGACTTCCTATCAATCGTGCGAAATAAGTTCAAGAAGAGGCAGTACAAGAAAAACCCGCCAAGGAAACTAGGCTACCTACCCATACAGACTGTCATGGAGGGCGGCAACCTGGAAACGTGAGTTACATGATAGTGTTGACTATGTTGTTTTAGTTTTTATTTTTATTTTTTTTTATTCCTTCCTTCCTTCCTTCATTTATTTATTTAGTTGTTTTAGTCATTTTTGCTGCGTCCAAATCATGCATATCTAATTCCTGTAAGAGGAGCTAGTCGATCACTCGCGAATATATCGCTCACAAAATAAAGCGTAAAAACGTACAGGCCCCTGCAATAATGAGGGGTGCAYCCCGCAACAGCAAACTGACCGCTGACTAGCAGGCCTCGATTTTATCTTTGCTTAAATTACATTTCGTCACATTTAAAGTCTTYGAATCTCATYATCTAMTCCAAATGGCGGTCAAACACTGACCACCATGTTCTGTCAGTTATATAGAAAATTCTATTGAAAACTCATGAACATTCCACACAAGRCAGTAAATGACGTCAAGTCATTTGTATTGTATTGTATTGTTAATTGAACCCAAGCAATTAAAACGACCTAAAAAATCACCCTTTTCGATTCGAATAAAATGCTCTATTTCGTCACCAGGCCACCAAATCCTTTACTCCAACAAAACGTCAATAACGAGGTTCACAACAGACTTGGCATGTACGCCCACAGGTATGGAAAA